TGCTTATGTGTTTCACATTTCTTTTAATCTGTTTACTATAATATTTGGCATTTGCTGTTTTTTAATGCTGACAACCTTGATTTATCCTCACTCTGCCCTGTTTGCCCTTCCCTTTCTCTCCCTCTGTCAGTTCAGTACACGTCTGTTTTCTGTCTCCGCCTTTATGTTTGCCACCATCCCTCAATCTATTCCCATAACCCTTGTTTTCTCTCAACTCCTTATTCCCTCATCTCCTGTTCTCTCCACCTCTCTTGTCCTACTATTTCAGACTTTCCCTTCGAAGATAAAAGCATGTAGAATGTTTAATGTCAGAAGTGTGAACAAAGCATATGTGCAGGCTCAGTCAGCTGGGATTTACAGAAACCTGTAGAACTCTAATGAGGGATACACAGTACACCGTGGGAAGTTTGCATTTAATAACAAGGTAAAGGTGGCATTTCTTATAAACAGAAAGGAAATATTCATGTGTGAGAAGCATGTCACATGGGACAAAGACAAAATATTGTGTAATGCATATTTCATGATGCTTGTCTGAGACTAAAAATGGATCAAAAATGGGTTTGATGTTTTTGATGTCACTTTTTATTCATATTTATTCAGACTGAACAATTTACCATGATTCATCGCTTCGAGTGTTGCCCTGAGCAAGAAAAAGAGCTTACACTGTGCTGATGATAATCTTGCAAGGCATGTTAGCAAAAGTGTCAATGCAAATTTTTGTCAGGGTAACCATGTAATGTGCTACATGATGGGGCGTGAAGGTGTGCTTTTGTTTAATTGCAGGGTCTACCATACAAGACAAAACAGGTTCTTTAAGAGTCACAATGTCATATTTGCACAGGATTATGATGAGTAGCACAAACATTTTTTAAAAATGGGAGTTGCACAAAATCTATTTCCAGCTGCTAGGAATATAAATCATAAAAACCTTAATAAATGTATGCTGGCATCTTGTAGCTATGAAAGTTTCTTTATTTTCCAAATGCAACATTTGGCATATTGGCTGTACAAAAACACTGGAACGGGCAGCTCGTGTCTCAGAAGTGGTTTGTTTTTTATGGTTGTTAACATTTTAGGTTCCAAGGTGAACCCTTACTTGCCAAAAACTAGATTTTAAAAATTAATTGATTTGTACACTACATCAGACTTTTATAACTACTACACTAACATGCCTTAGCCAGAGAAGGGGGAGAGGCAGTTACAGCTCTGAGATAATCAACCTCCAAATAGCCAAACCAGCCAAAGTAACTTCTCTATCACCGTTTATGATTGGTAGCAATAACCAGTGATATTGCATAAAAAGTAGTGTTGATAAAGTATGCGGGGAAAAAACAGAAACTGTGGTTTTATCTTTGACTTATGAAATTATAGGTACAATTATAGGTACAAGTTGAAAATGAGATTGGGGGCTACCTGGGAAACACCTATTTTGTACCAAAGAAAATGTCTTTTCAATTTCAGTTCTTGTTATTAGCATTTTCTGTTTCATAATGACTTGATTAAACATTTGTCTCCAAACAATGAAGACAAAGAATTGTCATATATTATGCCATTGTGGCTTCTTGCACTTACAAGAATGGAGAAATCATCAACACTTAATGGACATTTGATTGGATTCATAAATACAAATGTTTTATCTGAAATATTTTACACACGCTAAATGCTAATCATTGCTCTTACACTGAAACTGATTTCACCCCTTTTCCCCTCCCCATATCCTGCATAGATCTAGCCTTTTGCTCCTTTCACCTGGCCCCATATCTTGCTTCCCCCCTAGGGTACTGTATGTAGCAGAGCAGGAGCAATGGAGCAGCAGAGCCCATCAGTGGATTAGTAGTAATAGTAGTAATAGTGTGTGTGTGTGTGCATTTTTGTGCGTGCATGTGTGAGGCCAGTGTGAGAGACATTCCTCAGGGGGGAGTCAAGCCAGTTAATCCAAACCCAGCACTTACTCTGTCAATACCCTACCAGCTGCACTTTGCTCCAGCGCTAAAAAATACACAAACATGAACTAAATAAAACCCAAACATGAAGATTTTCACTTAGATGTCAATGTCACAGCATATATGACTATGTGAGCACAGGAAATGTGAATGAAAACAGGCATACACTGTGGGGCAGAAGTGTTGGATACACAGACCCAATCTGACACGTGTGCATGTCCTCATGCATATCTTACATGCATATAATCGTCATACACACAAAGACATTTGTAGAGCAAATATCGCCGCTGTTTAAAGACACAAAAGACCTTTGTCTCATGGAAACTTTCCATGGTACCAGTCTTCACACATGGCCTCCACAAATAAGAGTATACTGCGTGGACATACAAGCACATCACCTTCAGATTCCCAAAGGGTAATCAGTTAGAGCAGAAAATGTAGCAGTTTGACTGGTTGTTCAGAAAGTTTGGTGGGTTTTTTAGTTGGATAGCTGAATGGGTCTGCTTCAGTAGAAACGGTGGTTATTATTCAATGGAACATTAAACAGGTTAATTCCCTTCTCGCATCATCTTCAGGGTGCAAATATTTGCACAAATGCTCATCCGGTCATGGGATGTCCAACCGTGCTTTCACACAAGGCAGCCTGAGCAGCACATTTGGCAATATTTTTTGTATCTAACATATAAAATGATAATACTTTCTTTGAGTACACGAACATTTACTCATAGCAACACAAAACAAAAGGGAGGGCAGACAGGACACAGTGTCATTCTTTGTCAAACAACAGTTAGCGAGAACCATCAATATGACCAAAGCCCGCTCTCCCGGGCCCATCAGTTCAATACACTGGTAAAGACAGGCTGCCTGGTTCCTCAATCCAAGACAACAGCTTCCAGTGGGCCAGTGGACACTTGAAGAATTCTGATGTCAGGGGGGAATAAGAGACCTTCCACTTCACACTGGCAGATACTCATTGGTTTGCCTCTGCTGTATAAACCATTCTGATGAACAACTTTAAAGTGAGTAAACAAATGTATCGCTCATGTGGCAGTGAATCAGAATGTATGGGAAGAATGATACATTATCATTTCCCTGTTAACAGCAAGCCAGCATGTTCCACTGATGTAGATGCAGTATAAAACAATGTAAAAATGCAATAAGTGACATACAAGCTTTATAGTTACTGCACCCCAGATTTATGCCCACTTTTACGTGAGTAGTCAGATTCAATCTTCTGAATATCTTATCAAAGGACAACTATACCTTTGCCCTCTGTTTCACAATCAGATTAGATTAGGTCAGCATCATGCTGTTTTCCTCTGTGTATGCTCTAAAGGGACAGGAGCAATGTGGGTGGAGGATTTAGTCTATCTAACAAGCTAGACCTGGAAATAGAAAAATAGAACTGATGGATGAGAAAGATGCCCTTTAATGTTTTTAGAGCAAAGAACCATTTTTCTTGTTCTTTTTTCATTTTCTTGTCAGCTACTGTTTTATTTCCACTACGAAAAAATCTGCTAGAATAATGTGAATAGTATAGTATATAGTGTTACGTATGAATAGCTGACTAGTGCATCAGTCAACAATCAAAACGATGTGCATTTCCAGACTAAATGAAGAGCACACAGGCTTTGGCTTCAGCACCATGGACAGGTCTCTTGGTGAAGAGCTGAGGTTACAGCTTCTTTTCAACCTCGAATTCATTTATTAGGTCTCCGCATGAATTACAATTCCTAACTTGATGCTCATAATTGTCGACAGATCAGGTTGTTGAATACTGTGAAGATTTTTTAATTCACATTTATTTGCAGGGCAATAATTATCCCAAACCTAATGCCCGTAGCCCAACGGTATACATTTAAACCTAATTTGATTTTGAGGCTGAATCCATATCCAGCAATTCTCACGTGGAAAAAAAATGATATCTTTGATAAACTTTTATAACAATGCAAATAGCCCTGAAACAAAGACTTGAAGTAACCTCGAGATCTTCAACAGCTATTCGAACGAACTGCTGTTCAAGGTCCGAAAGGTGTTGAGCAACCAGAGCCTCTCTCCCCCCCAGTTCCACTTTCCCCCCCCCCCCTTTAAAGCAAAGGTCGGCGACTTTTCCGAAGCTAGATGGCAGAAGAGCCCCACTGCAGCTTTGCGCCGTCATCATTCCATCTTTGCATTGCAAATTGCCCAGCCCCATCACTCCCAATAACGGATCTACTCGATCTTCAAAATGAAAATAAGAGTTATGGTGGGGTTGCCAACCAAGCTGATTTCTTTCATCAGCTTTCAGAACGTAATGCTGCCTTTCTAAGTCTCATCTAACTCCCCCGTCTCGTTCCTCTCCTGATACACACGGAATTCTTTTTTTTTTTTTCCTTCTCAAGACTGACAGTCTTAGTGAATTTGAGTCCCCCACCTCTCTGCTTCTTTGCCACCCACACCTCGCTGTTCCTACTTCATTCGCAATCCACACATCAGACAACTCATCCACAGGACGCTCTCCCTCGTCTTACCCCTCGCCCCCGCCTCCACCATCTTTTTACTCTCTCTCTCTTTCTCTCTCTCACTCCGTGAGGTTCGATTGCGAATCGATAAAGGTAGCCTTCACACTGGAGGCTAGACTCCTCTCCATCCTCAGCCGATTTCTTAGGAAAGATGTTGAACAGCGGATGCGGGAGCGTTCTGACAGTCATCCTCACACTTGATGCCCCTCTCAGCAGAGATGGTTGAGCCCTCGTCCAGGTTGCTGTGGTCCTCTCCTAAAATCCAGTCTCGCTCACTTCTCTTCTATCAGCTGACATAAGCACGGCGGGAGGCTCTGTTTGTTTCTCCTCTGAGAAGGGAAGCCACTTCAAGTCGACAGATAAGAGAATTTAGGCTCTACATGTTTTAGTTGAGAACATGAAGGGGATTTACAAAGACGGATACTACGAAGGATCTATTGAACTACGGGACGTTTTCAACAGGAGATGCGTTAGATGTGGCAGGGGAGACTTTGTTCATGCCAAAACGATGAGGATTAGGACGGGAATTGTTTTTTGGAATCTCATCTTTTCACTGATGTTCACTTGTGTGAAAGGTACGAGCCACTGCAGCAATTCTCAGTATTTTCCTGTGTGCTCGATTTGCCCCAGTGGTTGTGTGTGTGTGTGTGTGTGTGAGTGTGCGTGAGTGTGCAAGTATATGTGTGCACGCCAGATATCAAAAAGCCTTAACGTTATAGACTTGCGCAAATGAGGCTACCGCGGCTTTCTGCCTAGAGTTTTTGGGGACGCGTTTCCGCTGTCTTGCGCTCAATGCAGGCTTTGACTGAGTCGCTCAATAGATATTCTTGCAGCAGCCTACGGTTCTTCTAATAGCCTACGTGAGCTGCTTTGCTTAGTAGGCTAACTAGTGAATTGTTGAAGCACAAGTGCATGCACTGCAGATTTCCTGTGGGATGTTTCGATTCCGAATCTAATGAGGATAAAGCCTTCTCTTTTCCGGGGCCGAGTTTTAAAGTATAGATGTAGGATTTGTGGGAGGCCAATTTCTCATTAGACACGACACCGAAACCATGCAGGAGCAGAGGCAATAAGTGGAACCAATTTGGAGGCTGGGGTTTATCGGACTTGTCTATGTGGGCAGGTGGAAGGTGGGCTTCTTAGTATTCCAGTGGCTGCCTCCCAGCTGCCTCTTCCGTTTGAATACTGGCAAAGGCTGGTGACATAATAATTTTTTTTATCATATAAATCTATTACATTTATTCACCCTGGAAAATTCCGTTTTATGACATTTGTGTAATACCATCTAAAACATGTATTTAGACTGATCCCACTTCAGGAATATCAAAAATATCTTGGTTCTCTGCTCAACTATCTAACCCCTTGTGTGCTCTTAAATAAACCCTGGTCATTTGATTCCAGGGATTGTGTCTTCTATTAAAACAATACAAAGCAGTGTTTGCTTATTCACCTCACCACTATTACAGCCTGCCTCACTGATGTCCGGTGCGTGCTGAAAGCAAACACAAAACAATTTCGTATTCCCTTGCCGTGTCCGTTTAGTGACACGTTACAGCGAAAGCCTGCATGATTAGCCCCCGTTTGTTGGCGTGTAATGGGCACACGTTCGAAATTCTCATTTCCGAACAAAAAGTACACCTAAAGAAAAGAAGGGGGAAAAAGCCACAGCCCGTTGAAATTGTTGTGTGCGTGTATGCGCACGTGCGCGCAAAACAGAGAGAGAGAGCAGCCACTTATCTGTTGAATGTTTTCTACGTGTTTCTCGATATGAGCACAGAAATCAATTTACATGCAGATCCCCCTAACCCCACATCTCCTGTGAGTAAATCTCGCCTCTGTCTGTTGGGGATGGATGTGCAGCAGAGCAGCACCGACCACGAACCAACCAACGAGTGGAGTCGAGCAGAGTCGGGCACGGTGCTGTTTCATCACCACCCACACTCAGGCAATGTCAAACCTTGACGCCACTGCCAATCCTTCTAGTTCTGTTACTTATTAGGGGGGCAGGCAGCCGGGAATTGTCGAGTGGAGGCGGGAGGAGAAGGAGAAGGAGGTGGATGGACTAGACGGAGGCGAGGGTTCCCTTTTTTGGAAAACAGCAGAGGAAAATAGTGAGGTTGGAGATCCGTAGAGCAGCTGTTGTGCCTCCTCTCAGACAGTTGACACCATGTTTGCAGATACGAAAAAGATATTGGCAGGGACTGGTCTGTGACTCACTTTTCCAGCAAAAATAGTGATGCCAACGTGAAAAGAATCAGATGCCCATTGAGCAGTGCTTATACAACACTGTTTCTGCAGCTATTTTCAGGAACTGCAAATTAAACGGCAACAGTCATGATAAATCTGTCAAAGTCTTTCTTCGCAAAGCCATCCCAGTCACAATTATTCTTTGAATAAAGCACACAGCATGGAGTGAAAATCAGTTCAACCCAGTTTCTGGGTTTCGTAATGAATGCAACAGTACGTTAGTGTTGCACTTAGCATGATATGATACTGTTTATGCACTGCTGTGCAGCCAGTGTGCAGATCCTGGGTCTTTAATTGAAAGTAAAGAATAAAGAAAAAATGTCTGTGAAAAAATCCTTTACCTCGACGGTGAGCATTTCCTTTAGAGTTTAAAAGCTGCATTAATGCTTTGTTCCTATGACAGTGATACTGCATTTATTGATTGTAGGGCAATCAATCAAGTTTACAATAATGAGACAGTCAATTCTCTGCAAGTGCAGCAGCCTCATGACACAGGCCTATGGACAGAGAGGGAACAGGCTTTCTGCATCAGTCCCTTTCAGTTACCAGGCTTCTAAAAGAGATGGATGCTGTTTAACTTTACATTAAGCTTAATGGATTAAATATGCTTTGTACAGATGAAATAATTTATTCAGGGAGCAGGAAGAGCTGAACATCAAATTGAAGGAACACCAGAGGAGAGAACATACAGAACGCACAGCCCTGTTTCCTGTGCTGTCATGGTGGCTGATTCACAACAGATAGCAGTCGGTGAAAAACATCCAGCTGCTGTCTCCCATCACTGCTGTTTCTTGTAATGACACTTGAATTTTCAAAGCTTCATTATTTTGTGAGGGTACGTTCTAAAAAAAAAAGTGTGCTGGAGAGTCACTAATTGCTGGTAATCAGGTGGGTTCTGAACACAGCGTAATCTGGCCACTGAGCCCTTGATGAAGACTTTATCTCGGTGTGATTACGTAAACAGACTGGAAAGGCTACTGGGGCTAATCAGGATTACAATTTGTCAGTGTAATTATTCTCTATCTACAAGGAATGCAGGGCATTATCCCCATGTCTCCAAGGTTCCCGATCGCCACAAAAGTAAAGGAAGAACAGAGACAGAAAAATCAGTGGAGGGATAGCCACAACAGTCTGGCTGGAACTGGAAAGAACACCAACCTCTTCTCAAGGATAAATAGTCTAGGAGCATAATTTGCAGCCCTTTTACTTTGCATTTTTGATATTTAGCTCAGTGTTCAAATCTTGATGGACATTCTCTGTTGCATACCAAAGCATACCTCAACTCACTCACTGTCCAGCTGCTCCTGAACTTTGGTCTAAGCCAAGCTCTTGTTGCCGGCGGTCCTCGCTTTTGCTGGTAGTGGGGCTATGGTTTACCATTTGTTGAGATTAAATGTTACAGGTTTTAAAGAGACAGTTTCCAGAGTCATGACTAAAGATTCTATTTCTATGACTAAAACTCTCCTGATACACAGGTGCCATTTTTGAGGATATTAAGCTCTCTTGAACACCCATAGAAATATTAGCATACAAGAACACATGTATCGTTTTTCCATACAGCAGAAAAAAATAAATTAACATTGATATAGAAGACACATTATGGTCCCAAAGCAACCGTTTTTCTGAATACATTTGTCTCACATATCACTTGAAGCCTGTATACCTTCGCCTCAATAACATCAAACATTGAACATGAAACGTAGTGGAAAAATGTTATTTCCAAAACAGATACGTTTGATTCACATTAACAGGGGTTCTGTGAAAAATGGATTTGCAAATACATTAGAAATTTTAGCATAGTATCCTGTGACTGACTTTGGAAAGACTGTTATGATTTTGCATCATCAAGAGTAATGCCATCAATTTTTTTAGAAAATCTGGAGATGTGTGTAATGGACATGGGCAAAGATAGGTGTAGCATGTTTGTTTTAATTGAATTTGGGGAACCTGGTTCCTTTTGGTTAAGCAGGAGAGGGACTATCCTAATTGCTATTGGTACTTGGTCAGAAAACTTAATTCTTAGATGGCCTAATAATCTATTAGTTCTTTTAGAAGTGGCATCTGGAAAGCTGCCATCAATTTTAAACTAAAAGTCACAAAAATTATGGTGTTAAGAGAACTGTTCAAACTTAATTGAGGCATGTTATCTCCATCAAATCCAAGATGAGTTTAACTGACTTTAATATTTTTCTTGAAAAATATAATTTGTCACTTTTGATATTTTATATATCTTTGATGTGCTGTATTGAATTTAATGGCAATTTATACGTTTTGCAGATCATTGCATCAGTTTATGCCATTTTACATTTTATAAAGTGTCCAAACCCCTTTGGAGCTACGATTGTATATTCAGAGTAGTTATTGTTATAACCTGTAAGCGGCTAGTGGTTAGCATTTTCCCTTCACAGCAAGACGCTTCCCGTGTGATTGTCAAGGGACTGGGAGCCTTTCTGTGTGAAGTTTGCCTGTTCTCCCTGTGCTTGTATGGCCTCTGTCTGGTACTCCAGCTTCCTCCTAAAGTCTAAAAACCTGCCCGTTGCTAAATGCTTGAAGGAGTGAACATGACTGTGTGTGTGTTTATTCATCTCTGTGTGGCCCTGTGATGGACTGGAGATCTGTCCAGGGTGAAGCCCGCCTCTTGCCCAATAAGCCCCCGGCCCCCGTGAACCTATTAAGACTAAGTGATGTAGCAAAAGATGGATGAATGCACAACCTGTAAGCATGAAAAACCATGTACCATGATGAATTTTCCTCCACAGCAGCTTATTTGTATTTTTCAAAATGTGTCAAGAAAATTCATAGAGTAAAAGGACTTGCTGTACATCAATTGTACCCTTTATAACAAAAGTCCCAGTTATCCTGCACTACATTTAAAGGTGTATCAAAAATGATCAATTATTGTTATTAAACCATCAATACCTATACCATCAATATTAAGGAGGCAGCAACAGTTTTATTGCTAATATTAATGGGATTTCAGGCCATCCTGTGCACATTTTTAGCTTGACTGTTGGACTGTGCTGCATTTCTTAAAGATGTTTGTTTACCCATGTCTTTTTTTTGGCTAAATCTTGGCAGATTTCACTCCTTACAGTGCTTTGTCTACAATTGGTTATAACTTTGGCAAAGAAATTATTTATTTTATGTTTGAAAACAGGACTGATTTTGATAATGAATACATAAACTGCATGCCGCTCAAAAATAGTGTGAATCCAACTCCAATCAGTTGTGTCTCACAGCACTCTGCAAAGATGTGTCATGGCAATTTTACACCTGCAGGCTTGGTTGCAAAGTAGAGCCGCTGAGCATCAATTACGGTAAAAAAACA